GTTAGGGTATTAAGAGGCATTGGGTTTCTTCTATTCGCCGAGTCTTTTGTATGGTTGTTATTTAAAGCATTTTAGCAATAAGTATTTCTTGGTATTTAAACACAAACTGAATAAACTGAAAGGCAGGGCTAATTTGCAAAAAATGCTTTAACGCTGAGAATAAAAGTTCACCGTTCATTAATAATTTTTTTGCCATTTCAGTGACCCCATTGCGGGCCAGACAAGGTCGATACTTCAAGAGATATGCGTCTCAGTAAATAGCCGCGGAAACCCAAAATTGCTCTTGCACTCGACATCGTCTGTTCAAAAGTTATTGTATGTTGATATGCGCTTTGTTTATCCCTTCCCAACCTTGTTTGACAACAAATATAGTCATGTATATAGAATCGCTGAAATGGGGAAAAATTTTAATGACCAACTCGTGCACGATTATTTGCAACAAAAATGCTCAATTCTATTTCAAAAAGAATGCCAGGTTTGGTGTACAGGGATATTGAAATGAGGTCAGTTTTCTCCTAGTACGGTGACTCTGTTTTTGGCCAAACAAATTTGAGCATGAACAAAGCGCATTCCAAATCCAACATGCAATAGCTAGATCTTGAACTGACTATTCACCCAGACGGTTCCAGTCGCACGCAAACAGTACACTTTTTATATTTTTGTAAATTGGTTCCTTAATTTGCTCGTATTTAATAACAATATTTATCGACATTATATTGTCAAATTTATTTTCAGTTTAAAAATTGAAGCACCACCACTGCATATGCTTATATCAAATATCTATGGCGGGTGATGTGTGTCAAAATTCAATAACACATTTGGCAATGATAACGTAACATTTTGGTACAATAATAACACATTTGGCAACGATAAAGTAGCCTTTTGCTACACTTTTGTGGCGGTTACAAGGCATTTATTAACAATAACAAAACATTCAATGACAAAGTATTATTTTGCAACAACATACTAGTAAACGTATCGTTTTAATATTTGCCAACAATCGTACATTTGGCAAGTACAATCCCGTGATGCAGTTGGGCACTAGCTCCATATCGGGCGAAAACGGTGCAAAATGGTGCATAATTATTTTCGCGATATTGGATTACATGTGCTTTTTTAAGTAAACATGGCGGAAAATGAGAGAGCTTCGGCGTCAGATGATATTCAGTCATCTCTACTACAGGCTAGATAGTATAATTGTACAGCTACTGGATGATGTGGCCAATTCACAACAAAATACATCTGCAAACACTGCAGCTGGTCTCTCAACATTTCAAATTTTGGTCTACTTGGCATTGACCTTAGGATGATTCCCAATGTTTCCGGTCCGTAATTTTCATTATTCAAAATAGGACGTTGTATGACATCTACGAGAAGTCTGGCCTGATGTAGCAATTCGCTGTAAATTTCGGGATTTCGTGCTGATGTAGCAATTCGCTGTAAATTTCGGGATTTCAGAAAAATCGCGAATACGATCAATAACATCATCAAACTCTGTTGAAAGGCATTCCGTTACATCAGTCAATAACATTTCCAATCGCGTTATAAGAGCAGTTCGTACTCCGTTTTCTTCGATATCCTGATCGCCATTTTGTGTGAAAATAATTACGCGCCATTTATGCACCGTTTTCGCGCCATTTGGAGCTAGTGCCCAATTGCATCACGGGATTGTATTTGCCAAGTGTACGATTGTTGGCAAATATTAAAACGATACGTTTATGTTGTTGCAAAATAATACGTTGTCATTGAATGTTTTGTTATTGTTAATAAATGTCTTGTAACCGCCACAAAATTGTAGCCAACGGGTTACTTTATCGTTGCCAAATGTGTTATTATTGTAGCAAAATGTTACGTTATCATTGCCAAATGTGTTATTGAATTTTGACACACATCACCCGCCATAAATATCACAGTGAAGAGCGCCGAACAAAACGTTTATTGCATGCATGTATGTTTTTAAAACATCGCTCAGTTTTACAATTTTTGGAGGTTAAATTAAAAATTAAAAAGACGTTATTTGTTCACTTAGCTTAGCGACATTCGTTTTATTTTAACGCAAGCAAAAGTCATATTGAAGTTGACAAGTTCAGAGCAGCAGTGCAAGTATATATTATATATTAATCGATGGCAACCCTACCGGTTCAAATAATAAATGCTATCACACGCCAACGTTTGGACACTCCCTGTCTAAGTTCATGACGATACTGTCAAGACCGGAATGTCGAAACGTTGGCTCGTGAGTGTATACTTGGTGGTCATTGCATTTATATTTATTTAAGCCAGAGCAGCGAGGAAAGCGACTAAGAGCCATTTTTTGGTTTAGCAACTTGGCGTATTTGCATGCATAATGTTGTGTTAACTGTTATTTTCAATTCGTTTTATTTTGTCTTTTGATTATTTAGTAGACATTTACCGGACTTTCTCAATTTAACGGGATTTTTTTTTATTTGGTGAAAAGTTGTTGTCTAGAAATCAGTTTACTTGTAATATTTAGTAACTGTTCAGTCTGTATGACTGCTTTGACGGAGTGATGCCTGGCCTATGCCTGTCTCATTCGGTCATTCCAGACGATTGCACTTGTCAAGTCTTGCACTTCAATTAGTTAGGGCGGTTTACATATCGACGACGGCGGCTCGAAGGCGCCTTAATCCACAATATTTGCTTCAAGGTTCATAATTATAAGTTACAACCTTATAATTATCGTATTTGAATATTGTCCGTTTGATGTGACTTTGCAACTTAATTTGTAAGTTTGGCAAAAGTCTGTACCGAGGACGAAAAGCACGTCATTATAATTAGCATTAAGAAAAAGACTAAAGATATTAAATGCCACTTTAAATCTTTAATATGTGGATTAAATAGCTACTGTTTAATAAACGAGCTCCTAGGAGTGTTTTATTTGGTTTAAAGCCTCGAGCGCGCAGCGCGAGTGGCTTTAGACCTAATAAAACACGACCTGCGAGTTTATTAGACGGCTTCAAACACGACTACAAATCTGTACCGACAAATCTGTACAAATCTGGACCAAAAGTCTGTACCGACGACGAAAAGCGCGTCATTAATTAGCTTTAAAAAAAGACTAAAGATATTAAACGTCACGTTAAATCTTTAATATGTGGATTAATGTTGTTTAAACCACAAAATACATTTAATCGCATTTAGTAAGACTAAAAGACGCGGTTTGTCCTCTTTTGTAAAACCTATGCATTTAATTATATTTAGTGTTGGGTTTAATCCCGTATAAAACAGGAGACTCTCCTCTAAAACAGACTTTAAACCACCGCAATGAAAATGAAAGACAGCTGTGCCACCTTAGGCCAAAATATTCGCACACTACCTGATTGGAAACTTGGACTGTGGTTTATCACACTACAATATTGTTATGGTTCTGCCTTTCTAAAGCAGGTGATGATCGCAACTCCAAATTTTATGAATATTTAATAAATGCTGTGGTTAGAAACTTGATCCTGATCATCTGATATTGCCTGATATTTGAGGGCCTATTCATATGATTCCTCCTGCCGAAACTACAGACAAGAAATGAGGGGAGTGGCCGGAACCTGTAAGAGTTCTTGTCATGGTGGAGGTCTCTCTTCGTGCCTATTCTGCCGCACGTAGCGGAATTTGTAACAGTAATTTTAATAGATTAATATTTTGGGCTCCTAACTGCCGCAGTTAAGTTAAGGTGGCTCGCTACAGTTTATAGAAATGTTGAAAATGCGTAAACTAGATCACCTTTTTGAAGAGATGATGCTCTTTACAAATCGAAATTTGTATATTATATATACAGCGACAATCAAACAGTCGAAAATTTGTCAGAAAAGTGACGTCACCACTGTTGCTATGGCAACAATGACGATTCAAGATGGCAGATATTTTGGCTTTTAACGCATTTTACTTTAAAAAAAGGTCGGTTATTTCAGAAAACATTTTCTTATAGTGCAATGCACTATCTAACCAATTTAAAAAAAATTCCGTAATGCAAAAAAATATTTATTTCGAAAAACCATGTTTATAAATTTTTTAAAAATTTGGCATTACAGAATTTTTTTAAAATTGGTCAGATAGTGTATTGTACTATAAGAAAATGTTTTCTGAAATAAAAAATTGGGGTAACCG